CGTTTAATTCTATTATTTAGATGATCTCTCTTGTAACTTAAAAACTTTTAGTGAATACGTAAAGAAGGGATACTGGGAGTTTTTTTTTACGCTTTACACGATGAACAGTTCAAAGCGAAAAAAGATAGAACTGTCGGACGACGATGTAGCTTCATTCATTTCCATCACAGGTTCGTAAACAGACCACTGTTTTCAGACAATTATTGCCACTATCACGTCTTAAAATGCCAAAAAGTCTTGAGCCTGTAATATTAATTAATTTCCATCGTTAATTACACCTTTTATGCATTCTTTTAAATTGTACTAGAATTGCATTTTTTTGGTTATGTTTGTTTACACCGGGTCACTAAATTCACCTCGAGAAAATTATCTCTTCTATAAATGCATTATCCAAGTTTTCGATCAGCATTTCGTTACTAGTTATGTGCAATGGAGGTAGGCTCTCAAATTTGGAATGCGTCTAAAATTGGTGACTGTCTTAATTTTCAATTTTTGCTCGTCTTCAGAAAGCAGTTGTGAACTTAAGTTCCTTGGTCCGAAAACCAGTGATTTGTAAAGGAGCATATTCCATTGTGCCTTATTATTTGCGTAATAATTACTTCAAATAATTTCTGTATTGCTACATTGTCTTTCCCTTTACAACAGGCGCCTCAGATGATATTGCAAGGAAAAGACTTACTATGACAAATGGAGACTTAATGATGGCCATAAACCAACACATGGACAGTAATGGTTCATTGATTGATGTAGAAGATGAGAATGAAGTTGAAGTTGTAGAGGTAGGATCATCAAATCGCACTGCTGCTAAAAAAGACAGAACAATCCAGAGCATTCCACCACGAAGAAGAGGCAGTGCCACACTCAATGGAGGTAGTTCAAATCTGCTGTGAAAATAATTAACCATCTCAGTATTTTAAGATTTTCTCTCTAGAAGTCTGATTTTTATTGTACTTACATGTTTTTAGGTGATGGACCATCTTGCAGCACTACAGATGATGAAGTTAGAGCACCTATTGCCCCAGTAACAGCGAGGCTTGTAGATCCTCACCATGATGTTGACTGGGATAGTGTAATGCGAGGGCCAAGAACAAATTCAGCCTTTGATGGATTAAGAGATTTTGCTGTTGAGGCTGGTGAGTTTTTGATTTCTCTGTGTGGAATGGGAAAACTGTCAACTTGAAATTGCGTCTGGATCCAATTTACAAGTTTTCTATTTTCTGTATTCTCTCTTTTAATTTAGATCATCAAGAAGAAATGCTAGCATGTCCTGATAGAGCCAAAAAGAAAAAGACCTTGGAGGATTTGTTTCGTCCTCCTATTCATCTGATGTTTCATGGAACATTCCTTGCTGTAAGTATGGCACATATCAAAAATAAGACCTTTACTTTTTAAATAAAAAAAAACTTACAGCAGTTTAAAATTATTAGGCTAGGGATGAAGCAACAAATCGTGAGAGGTGGCTTATGGTCAACATTCAAAATATGAAAGAGTTTTCATGCCAAGTTCTCAATAGAGATATTTGGTCTGACAGTGTCATTGACTCTGTCATTCGTCAGCATTTTACATTCTGGCAGGTAATTCGACCAATTCATTATTGAAACTGATCAAAATATGTGACACTTATAATAACCTCTTTTTAACTATTTGTAGGTGTATTCTGATAGTGGAGAAGGAAAAAGATATATGAGATTTTATAATGTCCCATCCTGGCCTTATGTTGCTATTTTGGATCCTCGAACTGGAGAATGTTTGGTTGAATATCACCATATATCTCGTGACACCTTCTGTGATAATATTCTAACCTTCTTAAACTCCAATCAATGGAATCCTCAGCAAACTCCTCGGGAGGGATCAATGGCTTTTGTTAGTTCAAGCCAAGATGGACCGAATGCCAAGAGCAAGGTACATACGTTCAAATTAAATATTAGACATTCAGACCAGTAGCTATTATCTCAGTGCATGAAATGAACTTTCTTTCTCCTTCAGAGTGATGCAGCATCATCAATAGTTGATGCCAGTGAAGAACAACAATTAGAATTGGCCCTTGCTGCTTCATTAAGAGAGGCAGCAACATCCAGCGCTGCTGCAACAGCTGCTTTGAGCAGGAGACCAGACTCTGAATCTGAAGATATTGACAATGATGATGATATGGATAACCAAAAAGAGGATGAGGACGAAGACGAGAAAGATCTAACACCTTCGCCAGGAAGCAGTCCGTTCAAGCCTGTTGATACTCCACCAGAAGAAGAAAGCAATGGTACGATTATTATAGATCATGCAACAAAATCTGTTCTATCAATTACTACCACTTACTTTTTTTTTTATCAGTATCAAAAATGTGCATAATGCTCCGGTATCCTGATGGTAAGAGAGAGGAAGCATCTTTTCCCAGCACCGCATCCATCCATGTATGTATGAAACAAAAATATATGTTTTTCTTCATTTTATTACTTTTGGGGGCTAAGCTTAACTGAACTTTTCTTTGCTCCAAACTGTAGGCACTTCAACAGTATGTTGCTTCTAAAGGATTTCCAGCAAGTCGATATGAACTTGTAACTCATTTTCCTCGGCGCAACTTGTCCGATCTCAAAGGTGTTTCATTGGAAGGAGCAGATCTGCATGCTAGAGACACTGTATTTATTCAATCGAAATGCTAAATTACTCAACTAAATGTACATATGTGTAAAAACTGTGTCATATTAATTTTATTTTTGGCCTTATGTGCTGCACTTTGATTGCCCAAAGGCTACATATTTTAGTTTGCTCCCCAAATCTCTAGAATCAGTAATTTGTTTCAAGCAATCCTTCCATTGTCTAAAAGTGTTCAAGAAATCAAAAGGAAACACAATTGAATCTAAAATGCGGAAGCAATGTTTAATTTTATAGACAGATATGACCTTAATTAAAACAATTACTATACCTTGGCTCCATACAATTGAACATGTATCAGTTTCAGTGCAAACTGCTCTTTACAGGTCTTCATTATCGATTTAAATGAGGCAGTATATGATGTGTGATACAAATTATTTTAATGAATTAAGATACATATTAGAATTTATTTAAAAATATTTTTTTCAATGTGTTATTTTAGAAATTGTGCTAGGATTAATTTTATGATTTTTTTTAATCTTTGAATGCTATGCAGTCTTGGTTGTGACAGTTTTCTTATTTATGGGGTCTTTCAGTCTAGGTGCTAGTGTCTGAGCCTGTTCCTAAAACTTCTAATAAAACACTTAAGTAAGCAATCCCGTGTTTATAAAAATTCCCTCTATCAATGCATTAATAACAAAAAAAAAATCATACATACTTCAGCGGGATTGACGAATAGCAGCAGACAGTAAAATGAAAACACACTTTTACAGAAGGGGAAATTATTTAATAATGTTTAAGGTATTTAAAATATAGCGTACATAAAAAGTTAATTTGAGGGTCCACAATAGATTACACACATCCTTCATAAAGCACACAAGTTAGATCCACGTGTGCACAATTTTCCACATTTTCATACTAGTAGTCAGCATGATCTTTATTAATGTACAGAATAGCTGTGAGAAGCATTACTAAATTAAATGTTAGGGATGAATTTAAAACAAGAAGATCTCCAGACAATCGCTTTTTTGGGTCCTAAATTTGCATTGATAATGTCTTTCAAGACGAAAATTAAAATTGTGAACCTACAAAGCCCACAAAAGCTTAGCACTTGAACTTCGGTTTCCAGATATCTAATGAGCATAAAAAATAAATAGTGAAATGAATATCATTCAAAGCAATGCAACTGACAGACTCATCCATTTCTGTTCATGATCAACACAAACTTATTAATAAAATGTGTTCCAAACATAATAGACTCAGACAACATTAAAATTTATGTGAAAATCTTCAACATTATAGACATCACATTGAATTACAAGGGAGAGCTGACAACAGCGGCACCAGCTTGCTGGCTACTTCTACTTCAATACTCTTCTTCTTCATTAGGAGGAGGTGGGACATCACCATCAAGTTCCTCTGGAGGTGCAAAACCATCCTGGAAAAAATATTTCCAGCATTAATAAAGGTGAGAGAGAGACAGTCAGTTGTTTTGTCATTATAAATTGACACCTGACTTAAATATTCATATTAAAAACCCAGTCCCTAATTTATTTATCAATGTTTGGGACCCCATTCTCCCATTGGGAACAGAAATATATTAATGTTAGGATTATGATATGACAATGGAAACAAAGGACACAACATGGTACAAGAAGTAATCACTGTGTTAGTCGCCATGGGAAGTGAATTTGTGGGCTGAAAAGACAAACTATTTAAAATGGCTTGAGATGTGTGTATTAAAGAAATGTTAACACCAGACCAGAACCCACAACATACTAGACAAAATATAACCATTCACCAAAATTATGTTTCAAAATAAACCAAAAAATCTCAAATGAGTAGTTAAAAGATCTGACATGCACTTCTCCTTGATAAACCCCTTTCAAATATTTATCTCCTCAATACTTTTCGAGCTCACCCACTTCCTAGCATTGCTGTACCTGTTCTTCCTGGTCCTGTTGAGTTAAATCTCATTTAATACTACCGAAGTTTTAAAGAAAGTGCGTGTCTAGTCATATCAAAATATATCTAAGGTAATACTTGTAAATGGTTAAACTTGACTCACCTCAGTGGCATAGAGTACATCCAGAATATTTTTCAAGATAGGCATCTCTTCACCCTGTTCGCCATGTTCCTGGCACATCAATTCAATGTTTCGAAGTTTTCCAAAGTAGAAATCTCTTTCCTTCTCTAGGCCTTCAACTGTCAACTTTAGCTCTTTGACCTAAAAAGAAATGGGTACTGAAATTTCATTCTTCCGTTAGCTGTCATGAAAGGGAGTTTGAGTAAAAGCACATACCTCCATATTCAGTTCTTCCATCTTGTAGGCATCTCCTCCCCTGTTCAAACCAGGAGAGGGTCTAGTAGGAGCTCTCAAGGGTGCCGCCGCTTTGGTGGGTACTGCAAATGGAAATCATTTTACTTGAGCAACGTGTACAGCATTGTTCCAGAAAGAGGATACATAGATACAAAAATATGTTGAGTAAAGCAGCACCAATACCAAAACTGAGTGAACAAGATTGATGACAAGCACATGCATGCATTACGATCAGCAGCTTTGAATTGCATGCAAATAAAGGAAGCAAAACATGCAAAAAAGTTTCAATCATGTGACTAAAGAAATGACAACAGATTACTTCTACTCAGAGAACAACAATGAAAAAAATCAATCTTAAGTGAGGCATCCCAGTTTATAATAGAGCTCTGACAGTGAGTGATGCCAAACATAACTGCTTTAAAATCAATCCATAGAGCTCATGATCAATAACAGGAACACGGAAGGAAGACTACTGTTAGTAGAAAGAGCCCAGATCCTATGAAATATTTTAAAATTAAATTGTCAATCACCAGGTTTTCCTAACGGCCGGTTTGAATTGTTGGAGGGTAGCATAGGCTTCGACACCACTTGGCTCGGTACTATCATACCATAACCCCGTGGTGCTTTGCTTCCACCGCTTCCCAACTGTTCACCATTTCTAATGGCAGCAGCATCATACTCCCCACCACTATAGTTGGCGTCAAAGAACTTTTTGAACCATTGCAGGAATTCAAAGTTGTCTTGGAATCGTCCTTTGACCAACCTATCAATAGGTACTATCTGGAAGAAAAAAAAGGTGGGAAACTAAAACACAAATCTTTCAATGAAATTGAGAAGCTGTGGAAAGACCAGCACTGTCCAGAGAGGTGGTACCACAGAAAAAATTAAAGAAAGGACATAATGAAAATAGGTGTCAACCTAATATAAGACAAATCCATTGTCAAGATACAAATTGAGAACAGAATAGAATCATCAGGTGTTTAAAACAAGGAATGAAAAATTTTCCCTCACTGTTGGAGTGGCTAATAACTAGTGCAAGTAGGTACTCATGAAAAGTGCTGAAAGCCCTGAGCTAGAAAAGCTATAAAATGTGCTACAAACAAAATGGTGAGAATGAACCTAATGTCAATAAGAAAATAAAAATACCAATGTAAGTTATAAAAGACAAATCAAAAGTGAAATCACACATTAAAAAAAAAAAAAAAAAGACAAAAAACACTAGAGCACACAAGCATTCCCCATACTGGTTGGTTTGCAAACAAATTACAGTAACAGGGCACAAGGCACCTAAGTGCAAATAGAAAATTGAGAGCTGATGGTGAAGCATTCAACCTAAAAGCAGTGCCTCATCACCTACAAAGCATCATGTAACTTTGTATACACCAGAGATCAACACATCATTACCAGGCTGTCGCATGGGTTGTCTCTGCTGCATAGTAGGAACTCGTGGGGCTGTGTGCCTTGGAGCTGAAGGAACTGGTACAGCACTTTGATGTACCATGTCACAGGCTCCACTACCAAGACCTAATCCACCCCTAGCTTCAAGGGCATCATAGGGCATCCCATCATAATTTGCATCAAAAAATTTTTTAAACCATTGAAGGAACTCAAAATTATCCTGAAAACGACCTTTTATCAACCTATCTACGGGAATAACCTGTGAATCAAAAAGTAGCATATGATCATGTTTGCAATCATGCAATAAGTAGTAATGGATGTCTGTCTTTTTTTAAAAAAGGAGTGACTCTGTTGGGAATTTAGCAACTAATTGTTGATGTACAATAAAATCTTGTGACAAAAACACTTCAACGTACCTTATCTACTACCATTTTCTTAAAGGCAGCCTGCAGAAGTTTAAAATTCTGAATGTATTCATGTTCAAGCTGTGTCTTGAACTTCACTCTTTTAATTGGTACACTACCTGTAATAGATTACATATGAAAAAAAAACTATTCTACTCTAGAAAATTTTAAAATATAAATAGAACAGAAAATTTGGAATTATTCTTACCGGGAAAGAGCATATCCATAAATTGACAGTAGGCAGCACCAGTGCATAGCTCTTCAATTTTGGAGAAAGAAGATGACAGGCAATCATTAACCCAAGCCAACATGTCATGTCGGCTAAGGTTTTCAGATGTCACATTGGTGGAGTAAACGTTTACAGCCATTTTGAACTAAAAACCAAAATAAAATATTCAATTTAAGTTTGGGGACTTTCACTTTTAATTTTTATGTGAAAGACAGGCAAATTATTGTACACTTCTCGGATATTAAGGAAAAGCTCAGTAGGGAAATCAACTATGACATTAGTATGTCACTAAACTCCTACATCGAATGAAGCGAGTGTAGATCAAACAGGGATAGTTACATAAAATCTGCTCTTTTGGTATAATCAAGAGTTGTTAGTCTTAGAAGGGGTACAGTGACTCATAACTGAGCTATCAGTCAACAAACAGGCCAAATACCGGCCCCGTCCGCTGCAGCTGCAGCCGCTAGCGGCCCGTCACGAAACCCCACCCTCCGCCCCGATTGTCATGATACCACGATAAGAAGCAGACCTCCACATAATCAACGTAAAGTTGACGCAAAACGTAAGAAGTAGCAGCAGAAATCACTTCCGTAATATGAAATTTAATTGAAGACTTTTAATTAATCGACAGAGAAACTAATGTAACCTTTCCGCCTCCACTGTAGCAGCGCTAACTTTGCGCCACGCACTCAAAGAAATTGGGAATTTGATTTAAAAAAGGGCACATCATAAGTTCACTAAAGTGTTTACAAAGAACATACATACAATGAGAGCTAGAAATAGAAAATTGAGGAAGTTCTACCAGTAAACTAATCACAACTGTGTCTCACCAGTGTTCCAACAACTTGT